CACGTTGTTACTGGGAGGTGGAGTGGACAGGGAGAAGAGTTAGAGTAGCAGTCGCATACAAGGATATCAGAAGAACAGGGGGCTGGAAGGAATGTGGATTTGGAAGCAAAGACAAATCTTGGGCATTAGACTGTGATCAAAACAGTTATAATTACTGGTACAACAGCATCCAAACTCCCATCTCAGGTCCTTGGTCCTCCAGAATTGCAGTGTACCTGAATCACATAGCAGGTATTCTATCCTTCTACAGCGTCTCTGAAACCATGACTCTCCTCCACAGAGTCCAGACCACGTTCACTCAGCCTCTCTATGCTGGACTCTGGCTTTGTGTTGATGGACCCTCTGCTGAGTTCATTAAACTCAAATAGACAGAAGTGACGTCAGATGCAGTTTGTTAAAATCTTTATTTTAAAGCTGAAACTTCTTAGTTTTCCATGTTTGTTGCTTGGAGCCTAAACTGACGTTTGTCCACATGAAGATGTAAACTTCTCTGTGCTCTAAATGTTGGAGGAATATTTGTACTGATGTGTTTGTGTGTTGTTGTGTCTCCTCCAGAGAAATCAGCAGACTTTCCTTTATCACTGAGATTTTGTTTCCACCACTTTGTCCATGTGTAAAGAAAGGTATAATGACACTGTTGTTGTCCTAGTTGATAAAAATATCTGGAGACCTCAGGCATGTGCAGCCGACTCTTGTTTACTTCAGATGCTGTCAAACCAGAGACGATCCTCTGCCCAGACAATGTAGACATCCTCATATTTATTGTTTTATTTTAGGATTTTACTGAAACATTGGACATGTAGACGAGGTCATCTGAGAGAGATTAGTGACTGCAAAGTGGTGGTAGGAGAAAGTGTAGCCAGACAGCATCGGATGGTGGTGTGTAGGATGACTCTGGTGGTCAGGAAGAAGAGGAGAGGAAAGACAGAAAAGAAGACCAAGTGGTGGAAGTTGCAAAAGAAAGAATGTCGTGAGGAATTCAGACAGAAGTTGAGACAGGCTTTGGGTGGTCAGGAAGAACTTCCAGATGACTGGGAAACTACAGCAGAAGTGATCAGGGAGACAGGTAGGAAGGTGCTAGGTGTGTCATCTGGAAGGAGGACAGAAGATAAGGAAGCATGGTGGTGGAACAGGACAGCATTCAGAGGAAGAGGCTAGCTAGAAAGAAGTGGGACGTAAAAAGGACTGAAGACAGTAGACAAGATTACAAGAAATTACAGCATAGAGTGAAGAGGGAGGTGGCAATGGCCAAACAGAAAGCATATGATGAGTTGTATGCCAGGTTAGACACGAGGGAAGGTGAGAAGGACTTGTACAGATTAGCGAGACAGAGAGATAGAGATGGGAAGGATGAGCAACAGATAAGGGCGATTAAAGACAGAGATGGAAAGGTGCTAACAAGTGAGGAGAGTGTGCAGAGAAGATGGAAGGAGTATTTTGAGAAGATGCCTGAGGAACGGAGGAGAAGTGTACTAGTGCCGATCTTTAAGAACAAGGGTGATGTGCAGAGTTGTAGCAACTACAGAGGTATAAAGTTGATGAGCCACACAATGAAGCTATAGGAAATAGTAGTGGGAGCTAGGCTAAGAAAGGAAGTAGATATCTGTGAGCAGCAGTGGCTTCATGCCCAGAAAGAGCACTACTGATGCAATTTTTGCTCTGAGAATGTTAATGGAGAAGTATAGAGATGGTCGGAAGGAGCTGCATTGTGTCTTTGTGGATTTAGAGAAAGCGTATGACAGAGTGCCGAGAGAGGAGCTATGGTACTGTATGAGGATGTCAGGAGTGGCAGAGAAGTACGTCAGAGTAGTTCAGGATATGTATGAGAGGAGTA